TGCAGAAGCCATACAAACACCACAGAAGGCTTGAAACCAGGCCGAGGGGACAGACCGCCCTCCGCACCCCAGGTCTATGAGCCATTCCTGAATAACAACATCCAACCTACCTCCCCTTTCAGTTCAGCACAACCTACGAACAGAAGGAATACTTCCATGGGGTCACATGAGCTGAGCCAAAGGCAAGGGGGATAGCAACGAGGAGGAGTTCATCCTCATTCATACAAGAACGCATGATGATTTCATTTATCTGTGCTAAGAATTGACTAAAATGGCAATTTTCCTCCTTAAGAATCCCTCTTTCTTGCCAACAGTCCTACAGTCCTGTAATTCTTCACTTCTCATGCAGAAGCCATACAAACACCACAGAAGGCTTGAAACCAGGCCGAGGGGACAGACCGCCCTCCGCACCCCAGGTCTATGAGCCATTCCTGAATAACAACATCCAACCTACCTCCCCTTTCAGTTCAGCACAACCTACGAACAGAAGGAATACTTCCATGGGGTCACATGAGCTGAGCCAAAGGCAAGGGGGATAGCAACGAGGAGGAGTTCATCCTCATTCATACAAGAACGCATGATGATTTCATTTATCTGTGCTAAGAAATGGCAATTTTCCTCTTGTTCAAAGTATTAGGTACTATGCTTTTAAAAATCTATTATAAAAGAAAGCGAAAGTGGCTAATTCAGCCATCCCCAGTTGGATTTCAGAATGATTAAATTTAAAATGTAGCTTTGTTTCTCCTCAACCACATATTTGTTCTACTGAATTAGACCTGCCCACTCTTGGTTTTGAACCTGCTGTTCATCTTTAAACTTACCTAATGCAAATGCCTTCATTAGACACTATCAGATCGGTACAAATCCTACTAAGCTGAGCACAAATCATACATTCTCATTACTTTTTTAAGGTTTTGGCTTTCGATGTTAAATTTTGGCCTGCTGATGATCAATACAAGTTCTTCTGAAAATCAGCCAAAGGATAAAATTATAAACAACTCTTCAGAAGTAGCCATTTCCTCCCAGTCAGAGATAAGGGGAGTCTTTAATGTCGACAGAAGCTCTTCGGATCAGGAATTCATGGCAAAACTTTTGGTAGATCTTTTCGGTCCCATCTCACAGGACACCATCATGCTGTAGAATGAACAAAAAAGAGAATCCAAAGTTAAGCTCATATCATAAAACCGTCAATGAACAATGATAAGAATAATGGCCTGCAGAAGACTTGAAGGTCATCTAGTCCAACCTCTGACATGTTAAGGCTGATGTGATATCTGTCAGGATATGCCAAGAGGCACACTTAGGCAAAATGCTTATCTCTCCTCCATGCGACCCTTGTTCCATGGGACACTGGGCAGAGTCAAAAGCTGGGAGGGGACTCAAAAGCCATCAAGTACAAGTGTGGTATGTGGGCCACACGGGTGCACCCAGTGAGTTAAATGCGGCCCCCACACCCTTGTATCCCCAAAGTCTCCTAACCTCATTATTTTAAATATTTATTTACTTGTTCAAAAAGACTCTTGGAGCACTTTAGGTGACGTGGGGGGAAATTCTGCCATATTTTGTCCTCCTCAACCTCCCAACGTTTTCTTTTGGCATTTGTTCACTATTTTAAAGGGGATACAACAGGCTTTTCTGGCTCCTGAAATTTCAGAATGATGTATTTCTGGAGCGAGAGCCCAGGAGCAGCTGTGGGCCCTGCAAGGTCCAGGAAACTTTTGGTTTGTGTTCCTGTCTTGAGTAGGGGGTTTGACTCAATGGTCTTAAGAGGCCCCCCTCCAACTTCATGATTCTATGAATGGACACGTTCACCCATCCGAGCCTCTAGAAGCTGCTATTCTAAATCCCACAAGCAAGAAGGTTTCAAGATGTGTTCTGCCCACTGTATTGGGAAGACTCTGGGGTAAAAGACTGCATAGCTATACTTCTCATAAAACACTGAAGCCCAGTACATCTCCTCACCCCACCTGCCCCAGGACTGACACTCCTCATCACTGCAGAAGACCTGTCGCCCCTCCCTCTCCAACACACCCTTACTTACCCTTGGCAGAACCATCAGAGCTTTGGTCATTGGCTGCAAAGAGGAGAAAAGAAAGTGAATGAAATGACCGGTGGTATTGTTGTCAGCTAGTTTCCATCTCCAGAGGCTCCTTCCTTGCTCATCCCTTTCCTGAAATATATGGTCTCTCCTTCCGCATCCATTTAGAATCAGAAATAGGCTTTGATCTCAAACCACTGTATGAAATGCTCAAAAGAGATTAGCACCATCCTGAAATATTTGAGCAGTCTCATGGACTCCCGTCCAGCCTCCACAAATGCTTTACTACACAAGGGTTTAGAAGGACCTTTACTTTTGGTGCCGTGAGCAGAAGATTTGAGGCTGTAAGTAATTTCCAACAAAGCTAGGGTTGTGCAAAGTTTCACTCACTCAGGCAAGTTTAAAGGAGGTTCAGACAAGAACTTTCTTATTGATTCTTCCACATTTTTTTATATCAGGGAAAATCTTACAGGGGGAAAAAGCCATCCCAATAGTCTAATTCTTTTACATTTTGAGTACCAGAAGCTTTCTCTCTGGAAGTACTAGTACTTTATATCATGGTTGACCTCCCCATGAACCAACAGATATGTTTCTTTATGCTGCTCTATCCGGGGGCAGATGCCAGAGGCAAAACCACATTTGACTGCCCACTTCTATTTTGTGAGCTTTCGTGGACAAGTCCACTTCTTCAGACATAAGAGTATCTGAGGAAGTGGACTTGTCCACGAAAGCTCACTTTAAACTATAGTAGTCTTTAAGGTGACAGAAGGTGGTTTGACATCTGTGATAAATAAAACAATCCTTTGGCAGAAAACTAAAATACCTCGCTATTTCCCAAAAAAAACCCTGATTCCCTGTCAAAAAAAAAATTCCAAGCTTACTTATGTATCATGTATTCACCTTTTTTAGTATTGATTCAAATCATGAAAAACCACAATTCAACTACGATTCTTTTTGCAAGTGTAACCCTACTCTAACATAGCTACATCTTCTACAACCACTTCCATGTTGGGTCCCCTGCAGACCAGGCTGAGCTACCGCCATCCTAGTCCTCATGGGACCTATAGCACATCCCCTTCAACATGATATCCCACCATCAAAGACCCTTCTCTTTCAATTTATCTTTCCCCGCCTGGTAGCCTCCAGATGTTTTGGACAACTTCCATAATCCCTAACGTTGGCCATACTCAAGTCCAAAGGCTGACAGGAGTCTACACATCTGAAGGCCACAGGACTGAAAAAGGTGGAGACACAAATTCAAGAAAAAGAGGGAAATCTGCCATCATATCCTCCCCCTCTCACTGGGGGATTTCATGAAATGTTCACAAATAATTTCACAACCTTAAAATGTTCAATAATACCCATCTTTTACTATGTTCTTACAGAAGCAGTATGTGGGGGATCTTTGTGTATCTTTCAGCAGTTCCTTATAGATTACAGACATTCTTTGATGGAGGGTCTCCCACACATATCCACAAATACTTATTTTTCTCTATCTTTTTCAAAAAATGCATGAACTACTTTTCAACTTTGCTCAAATACTTTTTCAAAGAAGGAAATATCACTCACTTGGTGTTCTATTGTATTGTGCTTTTTCTTGCTGTTTCCCTGCAGAGACAAAATCAGGAAATCAAAGCTGAAAAGAGCCTTCAGAACCCATTCTATCTCACACAGAAAGCCACAAACACATTACCCACATTAAGGATGTTGAAAGCTCCACTTAGGGTTCGCTTGGAATGAAGGGAGGGAACCTGACAGGCTCAACCACCAGTGACTGTGGTTTCTTCAAGGTAAAGGCAAGCCTCTTTCAATGCCCATTTAAAGCCCCTAGATGCCCATTTTCCAAAAATATGTTTATGTGAAGATGAAAAGTTAAGCAAACGGAGCGATCGTAAAGCGAGGCACCACCGTACTCACATTAAGGATTTTGAAAGCTCCAGTTAGGGTTTGCCGGGAATGAAGGGAGGGAAACTGACAACCTCAACCACCAGGGGTTGCGGTTTCTTCAAGGTAAAGGCAAGCCCCTTTAAATGCCCATTTAAAGCCCCTAGATGGCCATTTTCCAAAACCAAAAATATGTTTATGTGAAGATGAAAAGTTAAGCAAGAATGACCAGACTAGATGGTGCTCAGCTGCCTTCCAGTCCAGGAGAATTGAACTTTGGGGACCTAGATTTCATGGGTTCATCCTCAGAGATTTATTTAAGCCCCAGAAATGGCTTCTGAAATTCAAAGAGAAGGGTAGGATGATGTGTTCAGGGTTGAAATTACACTCGGGATTCCCTATCCACTGCTTGACCTTTACAGACAGAGATCTTTATGAGCCTCCCCGACAGAACAACAGACGGCGCCCAAGAAATGCGTTCCGGGCATACTCACTGCGAAAGAAGACAACCCCAGCAGCCACCAGGAGGAGAGCAAACAGGACTCCCAAGACGATTCCCACAATGGGCCACACATTACCTAAAAGAAAAAGAGGCAAAGACGTGGCTGTTCAAGGAAAGTGGCACCAGGAGGTCCTGAGAGCTTCAGAGGGAGGTGGTGCTCGACTGACCCAGCGACCTCTCAGATGTGAAAAAGGGGCTTCGTCGATGGGCCAAATCCCTCCCTGCCCTCGGACTGGTTTGATCAATGCAAGGCCTTCCCTCCAAGCACAGCAGGCTTTCTGGGAAGAACCCAAAACCTTTCACCGACCAAGGCATATGGTTTGAACCAAGAGTTCATCAAGGCATCAGCGCCCTGACTAAGAGCCACAGAGGGCTCCCAACCTCCCTGAACAGATCTCACCCCTCCCTCCCTCCCCAAAGAAGAGCACGTCTCTGGATTGGTTTGTTTTTTTGGTCCAGAACATGAAACAGCCGTTCAGAGAGTTTTTGCCCAGGATGGTGCTCCTTTTTTCAGGCCCATCCCGTGCGAAAGTTCCTCTCCCACCCCACAGCCATCCCTCCCCTGCAGCTGCTCACCACCAGGCGCTTCCCAGGCCAAGACCAGAGGCTCCGTCAGGCCAGCGTGATCGATGTGGCATCGGTAGAGGTCTCTGTCTCCGGGGTTGATCTCGATGCTGAGCCAGGCGTGGTAGGTCCCATCGGAGTTGGGAGCGACGCTCCTCCGGAAGGTGTCCTGCTCCATGATCTCCCCGCCCTTCCTCCAGGTGGCTTCGATCTCCTTGGGGTAGAAGCCGTGAGTCTGGCAGACCAGCACCTCCCTCCCTTCGGAGAGGAACATGCGAGTCACCTTCCCTACTGGGGGCTCTGCAAAAATGGCAATATGAGCATCAATGGAGGCACCCAAACCTCTCTTAACGGTGCGACTAGACAGTGAATTTATTCACTGGACTGGGCTAAATATGGTCCGAGATGAAGAATGATCCTTGCATCCACACGCACGGATCAGGTGGTTTGGGGACAGGAAGCCACACCACACTTCAATGGAACCCAATTAAGCCCTTTCCTTCCTCTCTCCCTCCTCCCCTGTAGGGAACAAGAAAAAATTGGGTTTGTTTTTCCTTTTATTGTTAAATGACGTATCACTTCATTGTCTTGTCACTGAATTTAAAGAGCACTGGATTGTAAAATAAAAGGGGGGAAATGATTGTCCTCCACTTCTTCTTCTGCCTCATCTTTTACAGAGAAAGGGAAAAACCTGGAGTGCTTTTTATACAAATCAAGGGGCATAACACTCCATTGGTTTGCAGCCCCAGTGACATAGCACTGAATTACTGGGAGAAACATCTACTGAGGTTCAACACTGGCAATCGCACATGCCAGAACCCAAATTAAAATGAAGCAAACCTACTTGGACTAAAATAAACAGTAGTCCCTAGAAGGGGCCCCAAAAGGTGTGGGTAGGCAGGGATAACGGACCAACTGGTTGCCTGTACTTCAGAAAATGGAGTGAAATGTTCCCAAAGCTGCCCAAAATGTGAGATAAATTGAAGTCTAACCACTCCCGAAGGTTCTAGCAGGGAGGGACGGTGTCTCTGGGGAGCAGGAAGGGATCTTCTGGTGATCACCCATCCCCACTCAACCACCCCATTCTGGGACTGAATAGCATAGATTTAGATTCTCCGGGTTCCCTTGGGTGTCAAGGGTGGACGTCCCCGTTTGCAACCCAAAAGCCTTGCAGCTTCTGGGGGAGGAACCCCTGGCCCCTTGGATGAACTGACTCCGATCCCATGGACAGTCAGATCTGTGAAGTGGCTCTGAAGGGCTCCTGCCTCTCAAAAGGAAGAGGCTGCAGCTGAAGCTTTTTTCTGTTTGAGAACTCTTTCATTCTTTGACGAATCTTGAGATGAAAGTCAGCAACCTCATCAAACAAACAAAAACCCTCCTCACACTCTTGGGTCACTCTTCAAGGGACGGGACCTCCCTATATATAGAGGGAACGTTTGTGGCACAGATCACAATGCAAACCCAGATGAAGATGCCACGTCACCCCAGGAAACACCCAGCAGGGCTGCTCTGGCTCGATCCTGGTGATCACATGGGCCAGAAACAGAAGCCAACCAACCAATCAATCAATCTTTTAAATGGCACCCCCTACTGAACAAGCACTCTCTGGGAGATGCAGAAGATGACTGCATTGCACCCCCCCAACTGCAGTCCAAAGCGGGGAATAAATGGCAGCCGGACTCCTTTTGGGAAAATATTAAGCTGAGGGGCTGTTTGGATCAAAGGTGGGAGGAAGTGGGAGAGATGGGGAGGCAGAGAAGATGGCCCCGGTTCCCCAGAAAGAAGACATCTTTATTCCTCCATCTCATTGCTCACCTCTCCTCAGCAGCCTCTCCTTCCCGTACTCCAGGAATCTCTGTAGCTCATCAAGGCATTCCCCCTCCAGGTAGGCCTTGTCTCTCTGGGCAAAGGCCGGAACCTTCTCCCACTTCTCTTTGGTGATCTGGGCCTTGGAATCAGCAGCCGTCCAGGTGAGGGTCTCCTTGTCGAGGGCGAGGTAGTCCTTCCCGTCGTAGCCATACTGCGTGTGCCCTCTTTTGCTCCCGTCTGCCCTCAGCTCACAGCCGTACATCCACTGCCAGGTATGAAACCCTGAAAGAGACCCACATTGGGGGATGAGAGGAAGACAGAGGAGAAGGGCAGTCCCTGCCACCACCACCACCCTCAACCCCACGTGCCAAGCCCCACAGCAGAGCCCAAAGAAAAAGGAGGATTTGCCTCAGGAGAGGCAAAAGCCACCAAGAGATTCTCCACTATGGGGAGCCCCTCAGGAGAAGAAAGGGAGCCATTTGAGGGTCTCCTTCTTTCCCTCCTGGGAGCAGAGCCTGCCTTTCGAGGGAATGAAACCCCAAGAGACACCCCACAACAGGGCAGAAGGGGTGCTCCCACATAGGGGGGCAGACCCCCCCTCCCCTGCCACCTCTGGGGCCCCAGAAAAGAGGCCCAGGAGGGAATCCTTATCCCAGTTGTGGGGCAGAAGGTGAGAAAGAGGAAAAGAATAGTTCTTTGGGCGCAGGACCTCCCCCCCCTCCACAGCCCCCATGGAGATATCTTCATATAAACACCCACCCACACCCACATCTGCCTCTTCTCTGCCGGACCTTCTTCCCCACTTCCACTCGGCCCCCCTGGAAAGATGGAGCCGACTCTCCCTCCAGCACTTGTGGGTCAGAAAGGCTGCCACAGGCAGCCCCTCCCCAGCTGCCCCCAAAGGCCCTTCGGGGGGGTGTCTCCCTCCCCATTTGCTGTCTTGGGGGGGGTCTGATCTTCCCACCCCCATCTTGGCTGCAATTTCTGGCAACCCTGAAAGAGGAAAGGCACATCCCTCTTCTGCTCCACTGCCTCATGAAGATGGTATTTGGGGTGTGGGTGTGCCTGAGGTTTGGGGGAATCGTTGAGGAAAGAAAGCACTTTGCTGTCTTCTTGCTCAGGTCGGGGAGGAACTAGAGAACAAGGAGGATCTCCTGTCCCTCCCCCCCTTCCATGCAGAAGCGGGGCAGCCATCTTGCAAGAGCCTTGATCCCCTTTTTTTCCTCCACCAACTCAGGACCACCTACGTGGAGGGAGGAAAACCCACACATTCTGGAGCTTCTGCTTGGGAAAGACCCCTGGGGCTCCTCTCAGCCTCCCAGTGTCTGCCAGTCTTTCAGGGAAAAGCTGCTCCAGGTTTACATTCCTGCCTTCCTAGACACTCCATGTCTAAGCAGAAGAAGTCAGCTCTACTAATGCATATTTTGTAAATTAATTGTAGACAAATTTTGTATTAACAGAAAATGATTTTTTTGTTTTAAAAGTACCAAACCTGTTCTACTAAATACTTCTAGAAAAGCAAAAACAGAATTGCGGCCTTCCTCTTACTTACTTCTCACTCACTCACTTATTTACTTCTTTAGTCTCGTTTCTAAATAAACCAAATAAATCACACATTAAAAACAATTAAACTATAATAATAATTAAACTACATTAAGTGATTAAAACATTTCATCATAGGCATCCTTCAGTCTCGAGAGACTATGGTAACGTGCTCTGTATGAAGGTCTTGGAACAGTGTCTTGTGTGGCTGAGAAGGCCAATTCGAGAGTGACAATCTCTTCCACATTGAAGACAAATATAATCTGTCCCCTGTCCAGCTCCCTGGTTTTGCTTCTTTCGGGACTGCCTCTTTGCCTCGGCCTGCTGTACAAGTGTCTCTTCAAATTGGGAGAGGCCATGATGCACCGCCTGCCTCCAGGCTGAACGCTCAGACGTCAAGGTTTCCCATCTGTTGAGGTCCATTCCTAAGGCCTTCAGATCCCGCTTGCAGATGTCCTTGTAACGCAGTTGTGGTCTCCCTCGGGGGCGGCTTCCCTGCACTAATTCTCCATACAGGAGATCTTTTGGAATCCGACCATCAGCCATTCTCACGACGTGCCCAAGCCAGCGTAGACGGCGCTGTTTCAATAATGTATACATGCTGAAGATTCCAGCTCATTCTAGAACTACTCTATTTGGAACTTTGTCCTGCCAGGTGATACCAAAAATGCGTCGGAGGCAACGCATATGGAAGGTGTTCAACTTCCTCTCCTGCCGTGCACAAAGGGTCCAGGACTCACTGCAGTATAGGAGTGTGCTCAGGACACAGGCTCTATAGACCTGGATTTTGGTGTATGCCGTCAACTTCTTGTTAAGCCATACTCTCTTTGTGAGTCTAGAGAACATGGTAGCTGCTTTCCCAATGCGTTTATCCAGCTCGACATCTAGGGAGAGAGTGTCAGAGATTGTTGAGCCAAGGTACACAAATTCATGAACAACCTCCAGTTCTTGCATGGAGATAGTAATAGAGGGAGGTGAGTCCACGCCCTGGCACATGACTTGTGTTTTCTTCAGGCTGATAGTTAGTCCAAAGTCTTGGCAGGCCTTGCTAAAATGATTTATGAGTTGTTGGAGGTCTTCAGCAGAGTGGGCAACAATGGCTGCATCATCAGCAAAGAGGAAGTCCCGCATACATTTCATTTGGACTTTGGTCTTCGCTCTCAATCTAGTGAGATTAAAGAGCTTTCCATCTGATCTAGTCCGGAGATAGACACCTTCTGTTGCAGTTCCAAAGGCCTGCTTCAGCATGACAGCAAAGAAGATCCCAAACAGGGTTGGCGCAAGGACACAGCCTTGTTTTACTCCGCTTCGGATGTCAAAGGGATCTGATGCTGAGCCATCAAAAACTACAGTGCCCTTCATTTCCTCATGAAAGGACCTGATGATATTAAGGAGTTGAGGTGGACATCCAATCTTGGGAAGTATTTTAAAAAGTCCGTCCCTGCTAACCAAGTCAAAGGCCTTTGTGAGATCTATGAAGGCCACAAAGAGTGGCTGTTGTTGTTCCCTGCATTTCTCCTGCAGCTGTCGGAGGGAGAATACCATGTCAGTGGTGGATCTGTTAGCTCGAAAACCACACTGTGATTCTGGATACACTCTGTCTGCAAGCACCTGAAGTCTCTTCAGCACAACACGGGCCAGCAGCTTCCCTACAACGCTGAGAAGAGAGATACCACGGTAGTTATTGCAGTCGCCCCTGTCGCCTTTGTTCTTATACAATGTGACGATGTTTGCGTCCTTCATGTCCTGTGGTACTCCACCTTCTCTCCAGCAAAGAGAAAAGAGTTCATACAGCTCAGTGGTGATGATCTCTTTACAACACTTCAAAACTTCAACGGGGATGTTGTCCTTTCCAGGTGCCTTGCCAGAGGCAAGGGAATCCAAGGCTGCTTTTATTTCTGCTAAAGTTGGTTCACTGTCCAGCTCTTCCAAGAGAGGCAGGCACTCAATGTTATTTAGTGCATCTTCCGTTACTACATTCTCTTTAGAATATAGCTCAGAGTAGTGCTGTACCCAGCGTTCCATCTGCTGTGCTCGATCCTGGATGATCACGCCTGTAGTAGACTTCAAGGGAGCAGATTTCTTCTGTATTGGACCTAAAGCCTGCTTGATACCATCATACATTCCCTTGATGTTACCTGTGTCCGCTGCTATCTGTATCTGAGAGCAGAGCTGAAGCCAATAATCATTGGAACATCTCCTGGCAGTCTGTTGGACTTGGCTACGAGCAGCTCGAAGAGCCTGCAAGTTGTACTCACTAGGACAGGCTTTGTATGCTGCTAGAGCTCTCCTCTTATCCTCGATGGCTGGAATCAGCTCCTCTGAATGGGCTTCGAACCAGTCAGCCGTCTTTTTGGTCTTCTTGCCAAATGTGGACAAGGCAGTGTTATAAACAGCGTTCTTGAAGCGTTCCCATCGTTCAGGTGCATTCGCATCAGCCGGGCCTGGAAGGGTTTCCTGAAGCGCTTGGGCAAATTCCTCCACTTTTCTTTGATTGCGAATCTTGTTGATATCTATACGTGGTTTTCCTTCCTTTTTAGTATGATACAATCTCTTTGTTTGCAGTTTTATTCTGCTACACACCAGGGAATGATCAGTGTCACAATCAGCACTCTGGTAACTGCGTGTGATCGTAATACTAGATAAGCTAGAACGTCTAGTGAGGATCAAATCAAGCTGATGCCAATGCTTCGATCTTGGATGTCTCCAGGAAACTTTGTGTTGAGGCTTTGTATTAAAGAATGTGTTGGTGACACAAAGACCATAATAACAGCAAAACTCCAGCAAACGTTGGCCATTTTCATTCATCTTCCCAATGCCAAAACGGCCTAGACAGGTGGGCCAAGAGTTGTGATCAGCACCAACTCTAGCATTAAAGTCTCCGAGAATGAACAGCGGCTCTCTCTCAGGGACGTTTTTGATAGTAGCTGCCAAATCGTCATAGAATTTGTCTTTGACTTCTGTTGTGGATGACAGTGTTGGTGCATATGCACTGATGAGGGTGACCAGTCCCGCTGATGAGTGGAGCTGCAGAGACAGGATTCTTTCACTCCCCACAGTAGGTGGAACAATGGATCTCAGCAGAGTATTTCTGACAGCAAAGCCAACACCATATTCCCTGGTCTCGTTCAATGGTTTTCCCTGCCAGAAGAATGAGAAGTTTTTTTCTTTGACAGATCCCATGTCTGGCAATCTCGTCTCTTGCAGGGCAACAATGTCCATCCGCAGTCTACTCAGTTCAATGTCGATAACAGCTGTCTTGCGCACGTCGTCTATTTCCTGCAGGTTGTCAGAAAAGCCAGGGGTCATTGTCCGAACATTCCAGGTTCCCAACTTTAGGGCAGATGTTTTCTTTTGATTGTTGCGTGGTGCATGGTTATTGATCTGTTTTTCGGCTCTCCCACCATCAGAAGTAGCCCCTGGCATCATGCTCTATGCCAATCGAGCAAAACGTATAACCAGTAACTGCTAGTTCCTGTGTTATTTCGACACTGTATGCAAAGCTGGAGTGTCCTCTCCAGAGCACGAAGCCTGGGTAGAATAATATGGAGGATAGGCTGTTACCCAAGCAGCAAATCCCCCCTCTCCACGTCACTGAAATAGTCCAATGGAGAGGCAAGAGCCAATACAACTGGTTCCAGCGACGTCGCAGGAGTTGGCAGAACAACACGAACTGTCTACGGGACTCCGGCTCTGGATTTTGCCTCGAGGTTATCTCCTGAAGCCTTTTCCATGAGTGGATATAGCCACAAGGCAGTGGAGGTTTGAAATCAGAGTTTTCCTTCTCCTAGATGGGCTGCCTTACATGGCTGACGAGTCCCACCTACTCGTCCTGCACTCTAATAGTGCGGGAGTATGTTCCTAACCCTGAAACATTCCTGCCCCCAGGTGTATGAAATGCTATTTGGCTATCCTATTTAGCAGATTAGAGTAAAAAAATAGAATGAGAAGACCCCAAGCACAGCTCCCTCCTGCCTCTGCTTCCTCTTCAGGAAAGGGGCTTGGAGCTTCTGCAGGCACTAATTTAAAGCTAAAGCCCCGCCCCCTCAGACCATGCGGTCAAAGGGTCAGCCTACCAGTAAAGAGCTCACCAATTAAAATGTCCCCCAAGCACAGCTCCCTCCTGCCTCTGCTTCCTCTTCAGGAAACATTTAAAATGTTTTAAAAAACCTTGCTTAGCCAAAAAAAAGCACCTAAGGAGTTAGTAATAGTTATTAAAAGCCTGCCTGAAGAGCTGGATCTAACTGTCGGTGGAAGAATTAAACGGAAGGGACCGACTTAAACTCCAGAGAGAGAGGGTGCCATTTTTTTCACTCCATCACTCACATTTTTCTATCAGTAAGACCACCTTGAAAAAGCTGAGTGAAACAAGTTCTCCGTCTTCCCTGTTTATCTCTGAAGGATGGGGTTCTCCAGGCATAAAAGGAAGGTGACAGGGAGACGCAGGCTTGCTATTCTCAGAGGTGCTCATTGTCAACTCTATTTGCTGACATCTTGAGGTAAAATGAAAATATGCCTAAATTTTCTACCCAGAATTGTTATTTCCCAATAAAACATATCAAGAGTTTTTAAAAAATGGCTTTGTAGCCTTGCAAGGGAAGTCACACCTGCTGTATAGGGAACAAACGAGACTCACAGTGAAGCCAGCCAGCCAGACTGGAAGAACAGCAGTAGTAAAAATGAAGGTAATCCCTAAACTACAATTCCTGTTTTGGATGGTACCTATAAAGACAGGCAATTGACATAAATAAGGGTGTCATACTCTTGGACCATCATGGGAAAACAAGACGTGCTGGAAAAGTTTATAATCCTGGGAAAAGCTGAAGGCAGCAGGATAAGAGGAACACCAAACATGAGACGGACTTCCCTAAAGGAAGCCAGAGGCTTGAGTTTCCAAGACGTGAACGGTAATGCTGAGGACAGGACATTTTGAAGATCGCCCATTCATAGGGGCATAGTAAGATGGAATTCACTTGACAGCGTGTAACGACGACAACAACATAAACTGGCTTTGTTCTAATGATTTTACAAGAGCCGACAGCCCTCTCTAGCTGGTCTGGGGCACAATGCCCATCCTGGCCCTTCAGCTGACATGGCCCAGAGCCTAACTGGGTGCCCCCTTCCCCCTCCGAGTGTCTGAGCCCATCTGCTCCCTTCCTCATGCCAGTCCAGGAGAGATCCTCCCCCTTCCAAGCACTCAAAAGGGATGGAAGGGATGAGGGGAAAATACATGCTGGCCCACGTGAACATCTCTGAAAGGTGCAAAGGCTGGCCAGGTGTCAGCTGCTCCACGTTTTTGGCTGACAGTTTGGATCCAGCGGCCCCACAATCATCCTGAGCCCCATAGGATCTGCAGAAGCAGGACCCAGGCCAGTTCAGGCTGGACCAGGGAACATGCATGTCGGTGAGGGTCAGGTGGCAAGCGAGAGCCTGTATCTTAGCATATGAGTTTGTGAATGTCTCTGGGTGATAAGATGTGAAAGAGTTACGTCTTTTTCCCCTCCTTTTTTTAAATTAGGCAACCCCATTCGTATAAACAGAAATCAGTAGAAGGTGGTGGTGCTGGTGTTGCAGGGTAGCAAATCCACTCTGAGTTTTAGTCTGAACTTTACTGGAGGAGTCCAAAGTGCTGTTTCTGGTTCCCAAACAAGACTTAGTACTGAAGAGACCTCTTTAAGGTTCAGACTAAAACCTAGACTGAATTCATCACCTCTCATGACATCCAATCACCAGTTTCCACTGAAATATACATTGTGCAGTCTTGACCCACGCAACAAACTTCGATTCAAATTTGGGGAGTCTGTGTAGCAATTTGTCAGGTACTCAGTCTATTGCCTCAGACAGAATTGCTTGCCCAAACTGCCTGTCCCTAGAATGGATCCATTCCAGAGGCTTTCAAGGTTCATGTTTTTCTTTCCTTATTCAAAAGATAATTTGTGCTTTCATGGGTGTCCACACACATCCGACTTCCCTTCCTGTGTTTACTGAGGCTGGAACTGGACAGACCCGACACACTCCCCACAGCTCCCATGAGGCTAATCTGATGAACAGTTTGTGGGTTGAGGAGAGAGTCTTGACTGGGCTGAAAACCCTGTTTCCTTCTCTGCAACAGCCACCTCTCCTCACTTTCCTCCCCTGCAAAGGACGAAAACAAATGTGGGGGTTGGGCAAAATCCTGACGTCTTTCCCGCCCTCCGCTCACCTCCGCTGTGGTTGTAGCGATGCTTCAGGATGGCCACGCCCTCTCTGAACCACTGCTCGTTGGCCTGTTCTATCTGGGTGTTCCTCTCCCAATATTCTGGATCCTCTTCCTCCATCATCTTCTCCATCCAGGGCGCTCGAGGCTGCACCCTCCGGGTGATGCTGTCATAATGGTTGAAGAGCTGGCTGTCCACGTATCCCACTGCGATGTACCTGGGAAGCCCCTGATTGGGTTCAGACATAGCAGTGGAGAAATAGTGCACGGAGTGGGAGGAGGAGCCTGGAAAGGGACGGAGAGAGGGGACAGAATTAGGAGGGCCTGCAGATGGGGGAAGAACCCTCAAACCTCCCCCCCATTCCTTTAGATACACTTTTCAGATACTGTAGTTCTCACACTAGACTCCGCCATCAGCGTCTGGATTACAATTCTGTCCGTACACAAATGAGGCCTTTCCATGGGTAAGAGGCAGATCCCCACAAAAAACACCTGGACAAGGCGTGGGGGGGGGGGAAGGAGGGCAAGGGGCCCCCCCCAAAGGGGGGAAAGTACAGGAATAGGAAAAGTGAAGAAGGATGTCTTTGGAGGAAGGATGGGGTGCAAGGAGAAATAAAAAGGGGGGTTTCAAAGGCAGGATGTCTGGAATTGGAAATCAGTGGTCGAAAAAACATTTATACACTGTTTCATGGACATTGTGTCATCTGTCCCATCCTGTATTTACACACCTCTTGTTCCATCAGTAGCTTTATGTGTGTGTTTGTGTGTGTGCGCGCGCGTGCGCATGCGCGCATGGCTCACTGTCTTCCACCACCACCCCCAGCCTCAGGCTGGACTGCCTTAAGAGTGGAACCGTTGAAGCTGAGACAGATCATGAGCCTGTCAACACTGAACTTCGGCTTTCCTGGCATCTCAGGAGCCCCACAATACAAGACAGACACGATCACCAACAGTTTAGAAGTAGGAGCAAAAAAGAGGCTTTTGAGTTGTGGTGGTGGTGGTTTTTTTTCCCATCCCAGTCAGGTACTGGAGGGTTTTTTCACCCTGCTTGGCTCAGTGTCCCCCAATGCACCATTGACTCACGGGGGACCCCAGGGCTGCATTCATATCTGCTGATCTGTGAACTTTGGACAACATTTCCTTATCGGTGTTTTTCTACTGGTCAGTTTCCACCCCTCCAGGCCTCTCTGCGGCTCCTGTTCGGTTTTTCTTCGTATAGATCTGATTCTAGTTTTATTTTTAAAAAGAGAAGGTAAGTCGAAGAGGATAGGAATCTGCCCTTGGAGGAAGAGGTCAATTCTAGCATTGCTCTCACATGTACATGGGGGCGGGGGAAGCAGCCACGTGCCACCCTCCCCTCTCCCTTTCTGGGTACAATTTAAAGGACTGACTTTAACTTAAGCCTGTCCGAAACAGCCTGGGACAAGCCTCCTTGGGTGTAAACGTTCTCAAGAGATGCCCTTCTCTCAGTCCTACCACCTTCACAGGTGTGCTTCGTGGGGACCCAGGAGAGGACCTTCTCTGTGGCTGCTCCCAGACTCTGGAACTCCCTGCTACTGGAGAACAGGATGGCCTCAACTTTGCTGTTCTTCCCGCTAGCAGGCAAATGACCTTTTTCTTCAGGCAAAATTTCCCTTAAAGGACAGCTTTAAGTGGGAGTTGTAGATGAGCTGCTGTGCTTTGTTGCTTTGAATGTGTTTTTGGTACTATTTTAGTTTATCTGTTTTTAGTCTGCCTTTTTAAAGAACTTCTTAGTTTTTGTATATTTACTGGTTTTAGCTTTAAATATGGTCTTTTAGTGATGTAAGCTGCTTTGGGTCCTTTCTAAGTGGGGTAAAAAATTAAGTAAATAATAATTGTTTTGAATGTTTGTTTATTTTTTTAAAATAAAGCAGAACCCCTGTATTCAACTTCAGCCATGGATGCTGAAAAATGTGGACCATAGCAAACCCTATATCAGCGATGGCGAACCTACCCTGTTTCCATAAAAATAAGACCTGACCTGAAAATAAGCCGATGCTTGTAATATAAGCTGTACCCCCAAAATAAACTCCAGTTAAATTAAACCCCACTCTCCATCATTGTGCAGCAAGCAGAAGATGACATGACTGTAAAATAAAACATCCCCTGAAAATCAGCCCTAATACATTTTTAGAGCAAAAATTAATATAAGACCCTGTCTTATTTTCAGGAAAACATGGTATAGCATGCATGCCACAGCTGGCACAAATTCAGCACTTAATTTCTCTTTCCCAGCTGGGCTTTCTTCCCCAAATGGTCTGCGCCCCAGGATCATTATTTCTTCTTTTGCCATGGAAATAAATCTCCCCCCTTCTGGACTCTTTTTTAAAAGCTCATTAAAAGAAATGGTAAATATCAAAAATCTGTGTATGCACCTCACAGATTTTGTTTAGCTAAATTCAACTCTCAACATTTCAGCGGAAGGTCATAGCAGTAGGAGTTTATACAGAAAGGAGAAACGAGGTGGGAAAATGCCAGTAAATAAGGGGGGAAGTCCTTCTTATTCATATCCTCTGGGCCTGTCCAGAGTGCCTGTTTTGGGTGTCAAGTGGATCGGGCTACCAAGGGATGACTGAGGTGGAGTGGGGGGAGGAGTGAGGTACCATCTGATGTGCCCTCCTTCCGAACAGCAAACAACTGCTTGAAGCACAATCACCTGTCAATTAAGCATTTACCCCCATCACTGTGGAGAGTCAAACGGAGTGAAAAAAATATGTTTCTCCACTCTCTCTGTGGGTGCCCTTCTATCCCTCCCCCCCTTCCCTTCCCTGGCCCTTCCCAAAATGTTTGTGGATTTCTAGTGGCCTCACTTTTTTTCTTTTCCCGATCTCTTGCTGCTCCCTGCTGGAGAGCTGGAATATGGAGGAGTATCAGCTGCTTTCCGAGAAATCAGGCAAGAGCAGAGGACGGTTTGAGGAAATCAGGTGGGGTGGGGCTGCAGGAGGAGTTTCACAAACACCCCATACACTTGGAAATGCAGGCATAAATGAGTACTGTATCATCTTTGCTTCTTCTTCTTTAATTATACTTGTACCCATTGCTTACAGTCCATAAACATGGGAGCAGGGGGTGAGATTCATCAGATCTCTCTGTCAGACCCTATACCTATGCTCAGAGATCATGGCCAGATCCAAGTACGAGGCGCTTTTAGTCTTAAATTGTCTTGATATTTTGGGCCTTCTCCACCCCTTCTACAGAAATCGACTAGCCTCCAAAAGCAGAGCCCAGAATGTTCTGCTTCATCCGGGGAGAGGAAACCCTGAAGAGAAACCACGTGCCAGGCCCTGCCCTCCGTGGGGCTTCCTTCCTCCCGTTCAAAACCACCTTCGGAGCAAAATTTACATTGGCTGCATGTGCGGTTAAGTGCAAAGTCACTTTCCTTGATCAAGACCCAGAGAACTGCACCAGAAAAGACCCTTGCGTGCAAAGGGGGGGAGGCGGGGGGGAGAGGCAGGATACTTCTTCCAACTTGACTTTGCCTTTCCAAAAACCCCTTGGACCCTGAACGAATCCTACCGATAAAGAAAACTAAAGCAACAGAGTCAACTATATAGACGAGAATCCCATCTCCAAAGCCTCCTTCAGAGACAAGCAATGGACCCTCCTTCTCGCCAGAGAAGGAAGGGGGTCTCGCAACGAGTGTCCCCCCCCCAAGGTGAAACACACCAGAAGCACAGAATTAGGTGTCAAATTCCAGCACAACCTCTCACCATCCTGTTTACGTTTAAAAGGTCCGTAATTTGAATACTTCTTTTAAAAATGGATTCCTCTGTTTTCGGCACAGCCAAAAGGCCTTGCACACTGGAACATGCCAGCTGCCCCTTCCTCCCAGCAAGACGGGTCTCTTCGTCCGCATTGTTCACTTCCCTTCTTTATGGCTTCAACTGTCTGATAACCACCTTTGTGGGCGGAGATGGGTGGGTGGGTCGGGATACATTAGAGAAAATTGTCCTAAAATGAACTACGACAGAAGATGAGAAAGTCGACACACAGCCATCCCTGGCCTAACACCACCTCTGGAATGGGAAGGGGTTGTGGACAGACAGACTGGCTGACAGACACACACCAACATGCTCATCTGATGCCTTCGTCACAGTTGAGTTAGGGTGGGGGCTGATTATAGGAACAATTAAGGTGGGCCCTTAGTGGAGGAAACCAACGGACAGGCTCTGTGATTACTAAAAAAGAAGATTCAAATCTTTTCAGCACTAGGATATGTACTCCCAGAATCCACAGCCTGCACAATTCGGGTTTGGGAACTGTAGTCCAAAAAAAACAAAACAAAACAAAAACCACAAGTTTTCAGCTCTCGCTATTTCAGGCCAAGCAGCGCCCGTCCCAGCCAGCACCGATTTACATGCGGAGTCTCTTACTCCGTTTCCTTCGCTGCCAATTCGGATGTTGCTCCCAGTCCACTTGGCCACAGCTCCGAAAAGGATAAACGGAGCGGGCTCTGCCCCGGGTGGCTCCCCAAACGTTCAAGCCGGGAAAGGGGGATTTACAAAGAGATTTGGACTGGGGGGGGGGACGGTTTTGAACTCTTTCGAACTCCCTTGGACCGTCCAAGGGGACCGACAAATACACGTGTGAACCAAAATAGGCGTGAATTCTCTCCCTCCCTAGGGGACTTGCCGAAGCCGCTCAACACATTTTGCTGCCCCAGGCGAAGGAGAAAACCCATGTCGCCTGCCTCCAAAGCCATTCGATCTCGGGGAGAGACAAAAAGCCCCCCCCCAAAAAAAGGATCAAGAAGGATCAAGAACCTCCCCAAGCGCCGGGGATCCTTTAGTACCGGAGGGGAGGCCCCGGCCTGGCTCCCCAAGGAGCAGGAGGGCGACCCCCGCCAGCCAAAAGCGAAGCGCCATCCTCTCACTCCGAAGTCGCTACGCTTTTGCGCCCGCAGCTCTTAGGCAAAGGGTTGAACCAGAAGTCACAGGAATACCCTCCACCTCCTGATGGAGAATAGAGAGTGCGGATTGGCTGCAAAGAAAATATTCCACCAATAGACAAGACGGTCTCCGATGTCGTCATCGGCTGCTGGGTAGAGGACGCACCGCAAGCGACTTGGTGCACGCAGTTGTTTTTTTTCTTTTTCCGGGAATCCCCTTTGAAGTGACGAGCCCTGCCATGGAGGGGGAGGGGCAGGAGACTAAAGTGGGGTGATTAGGTTATCCGGAGCCTGAGGCTCGGTCCTGCTAGCAAAAGAGCGGTGTTGTTGTGCGGGCAGCCCTTTTGTCCAGCGCCGGGCCTACACAGGTCGAGCCCTGTCAAATTTTCCCGGGCTTGTAATCATGGCCAAGGGGGGATTCGAACTCGGGCCTCTTGAATCCTAGTTCATCAGGCTGCCCTCCATACCAGGCTGGGCACCCCCCCAGATTTAGTTTAGGTCTGATTTCTTTGGCCAAAGATAGAAATAAGAATCACATTCACAACTTAAAAAATCTCCTGGGGGGGGATCCTAATGGGCTAAATTTAAGTTAATGTTGCCCCCAAATGACACATTTTAGATTTTCTTCCTTCTGTCAAGGAAGGAGGTCAGAAGAGTATCCAGTCAGGGGATAGCTGACATTCCCATCCCACAGTCTCCCATCTTTCCTGTGATTCTAAAACTGACCCTAAACGTAGTTAAGTCTTCCCTTCACAAATTACTTCTGGAACAATCCGTGAATTGCCACTTCTTTTAGAGAGGATGGGTGTCTTCCCTCTCTCCTCCAACCAAGTCCGGGGGCCAAATCACTCGGGGTCCACATTTGCATTAAAAATATTCCACCAATAGACAAGGAGATCTGCCATGTCGTCATCGGCTGTTGGGTAGAGGACGCACGGCAGGCCAGACAGCGCTCGGAAGACAGTATATTAATATTAATACTGTACAATAATACAGACATGGGGCAGCTGTAAATTAGTCTCTGAGAAGGAAAAAAATGGCAAACACATTTTGATTTACTTTTTTTATTTACTTTTTGGGGTGTCGTCTCCACCCTAAAAAGGCCTCTCCCCATCCAGATCCCTTCTCTCTTCACTGCTCAGCCATCCCCACACCTGTAAGAGCTGGAGACTCTGGCAGAGTGAAAGGTGCCGCGACAGCAAAAACTTTTTGAAGTCTTGCTGTCATCTTGGGCGTCAGCATTTTGGGCGAGCCCTATGGGATCCTTGAAGTGGACTAAGGCCCAAGTTGAATACAGATGAGGAGGAGTAGAGAGAAATGAGCGAGAGCAGCTCTTTCAGAGGGGGCGAGAGTGATGCCCATGCATAAAAGGAAAATCTGCCCAAAGGGGGAAAGGAAAAAAAGATTAGGTTGCCTGCAATTCCTGTCCAGATGAAGTTTATATATCTGTAGGCCAAGAGGATGAAAATAAAGCAGCGTTGTGTATGTCGTATTTCATAAAATACATGTAAAACTACGGCAACTAAAAATAACTTCTGCAACCCCCCAAAAAATAATTTGTGACTCCCCCAGATTGGTAACTCATGGCTCCCTAGATGTTCTTGGACTACAACTCACAGAAATCCTGGCCAGCTTGGCTTGTGGTGAAGGCTTCTGGGTGTTTCAGTCCAAGAACTTCTGGGGACCCAGTTCTAGAGAGGTAAAACAGAAGTGCCAGGCCCCAGGCGTCAGGTTGTGAAATCTGAAGAAATCCAGAGGCAGTTTTCCGGATCTGGACAAGTCTGGGCGTCTGCTTCGTTGCTGACTTTGGTGAAGGTCTTCCTAGTGCTGCTTAAAGACATCTGTATTCTGGCCTCAGAAAGATCAGCGGGCCTTTCATGCCTTCCTGGCTCCTTGGGAAAGGCTGCAGCTTCTGCCTGTCTTGGTGCTCAGCTTGTGTTTCAGACTCTCGATGTGCCTGATGGTGGGATCCGGGCCAAAAAGATTTCTGACAAAGCGCCCGACCTTTGCCCAGGGATTTCCTCATCGAGTGAGCTTCAGGCTCAGGTTTTTCAGGCTCAGGGACTTGCTAATACACATCATCTTTGGACAGGATTTCCAGAGGCACCAACCATAATACTGCCTCTCCTTCTCTACTGGTAGTCCGCATTTGAGCTCATCTCAATACCACCCTTCCCTTCCCCACATGTGGCCAATATACGGGCTTTATATGTCTGTTTGAATTACTTGCAGATTTTTTTCTCCTTCTGTGTGTAAAATGAAGCCTATAATTCAGGCAGCTGGTTGTGATGTACCAACATGTCATTTCCAATTTATGGTGATCATCCCAATGATCCCACCATGAACGGCCAAGATCAGGTCTTCCAAACCGTGGCTGTGGCTTCCTTGATGGAACCAATGAATCAATCTCATACTTGGTTTTCCTCTTGTAATGCTTCCGTTTAGCCAATCCTGGTTATGATTAGGTAACTAGTATCCTATCTGTTTCTCTCATAAAAATACTATGTAATCATGCTAAGTCAATAAAAAGAGCCCTCAGGGTGTTGCCAGTAGGCTCCGCTGGCTCGGACATCCCCTGTTGACTCCTTTGTTCTCTCTCTAAAGTAATTAGCTATTCCTTTGTTCCATGATCACTACAGACGGTTGTAGTATTTCCCCGTGGCAAAGGTCCCTTGAAGAAGGCCATCTGTCCAGAACTGATACCAGGTGGTCACAAGCCTCTGGAGGAAGATTGGGCTTGACATCCCTGTTGTGGGACCATTTGCGCAGTGAGGAATGCTTCTCTGAGGAATCCCATCAACCAAGAAAGTTTCAGGCTGGCTCCTCAATGAAAGAAGAAAGACCAGGTGTTGGATTAGCCTTCTCATGGACAGAGTTTCCGTTAGACTTGGGCCCTGTTGGCCCCACCAAAGTAGTTATTGATCCTCCTGAGTTGTCTGTTAATAAAACTTTTAATAACACAAGCACGAGTCAGATAGTTATTCCCGCCAAAAGAGAGGAACTGCTAAGTTTTCCCACAGAACCTGATCACACTGTATATATGCAAATCCTTTCTTGGTAAGAATAGCTGATATTGAACTTTTAAAAGAGATCAAATTAAAGACATGCCTCTGAGCATGTGCAGACGCTCAGTGGTTTTGCCATTCTTAATGTGACAGGACAGCCTTTATTTTTTTTCATGTAAAGGAAAAATAGTGGTAAGTTAATTATTATTTATGTATTTGTTTGTTTCATTTCTAGTCCATCTTTCCCCTGGTGAGCAGAACTAAGGTGGCTCATAATGGTTAAAACAAATGTGATGAAAAGCACAATACAGTGGTGCCTTGACTTACGGACGCCTTGATCTACGAACAATTTCACTTATGAACAGCTCCGTTCTCAGAATTTTGCTTTGACTTGCGAACGGAGCGTTGAGTTACGAACGGAAAAAGGCAGGGAAAAGGGGCAGGAAATTTAAATATACTAACCGTTGGTGGCGAAGCGGCTGCTTCTTTGTAGCTCTTTTGCCCCAACGAAGGAGCTACAAAGAAGCGGCAGCGGCAGTGGGGGGTTTCCCTGCCTTTTTCTGTTCATTCCCGGAGTCAGGCGCGGGGAGGCAGGACCACGGGAATTTTAAATAGCCTCCTGGCCAGGCTCTCCCAGCACTGGCTCTGTCGCCACTGTTTCTCCCTCCCCGCGCTACTGCCTTCCTCTCGGCGGAAAGATGGGTGAGTTACCAGATGGCTCCCCGCCGACGGTGGTTTAATGTTAAAAAAATAATTAAACATACAATAATAATCAAAAAAAAGAATTGATCAATTAAAAATTTAAAAACACCCTTAAAACTCATATATGCCCGGCATCGAGAAGGGACTCAATCATAGTTCTTCATTTTTACATTTTTACAAATGTTTACAATTTTTATATTTTTGCCATCTTGGATTCATAGTATACGTTTATTGGTTTCACTGTTTTAACAATGGGTGGAGTAGAAGCCTAATAAATAAATAAATAAATAAATAAATAAATAAATAAATAAATAAATAAATAAATAAATAAATAAATAAATAAATAAATAAATAAATAAA